CGCCATTTTACAACACACAATTCGCATTATACATGTATTACTACTCAGCATTCCACTATTTTCGAATACAAACACTTATTCCATATTAGAGGTCAACCGACAATTTAAATTAACCTTAAAGAGGTGTTGAAAAGGTTGATGAATCATTAAAATGCCAATGTTAAGAAAAGAAAAGAAAAAACATTGAAGCCTAATTTCGATTTCATTCATAGTGGATTGAATAGGATAGATAGTTGGACTGGGGTTATAATTGGGAAGTCACACTAGCATCGCAGTCTCCGTGAGGTCGAAATTCTGAAAGCAACAGGCAAGTATGTCGCTGCCTGGTTGTGTTAGCCGCCCGATTGCCTGTGCCTGAAGAAAAGGAACACATGCAACGCACCCATGAGTCTCGTCTCGGGGTACGCCGCGCTAACAATGCTCCCCAACGCGGGCCACACATATAAATTACAATTCGTTACTATACGTAACACCACTACGCTACACAAGCAGCCATCCACTCAGCAACAATAAGCAACAGATTTTACACACACACATTGACGCAAAATAAACGCATACATATGTGCGGTGTTGTGGAAGAAGGCGGCTCGCAGCGTTTCGGCTTTCGTTCTTTGCTTTCGCGCTCAGTTTCACGTTCGCTTTCGTCCTTTGGATGGGTTCGGCATTCCGTCTACCATGCTCTTGAACAACCCCGCCACATTTCATCAGTTTCTCTGTTTTGTTTAGGCTTCATCGCGCAGCCCTTTAAAGTTTTCTGTTGGACATGTGTTTGCATTTCAATATCGTAGGTTATTCTTTGCAAATGGAGCCAAAATCACGTTCGTATTTACAGTTTCATTCATCTAAAAATGTGCTTTTTGGTTTTTTTACGCCTTTCAAACGGTGTGCGATTAGAGCTTTTCTTGAACTCTTGTTTCTTCTTCGGCTCGCAGTGCTCTGGCGCTGGAGCTGGCGGCACGTTGACCAAGGGCATGAAATGTGCGCATACTTCGCCGTCTGTGAACGGCACTCGCCTCTCATTCGCCTTCCCATTTTAATAGAAGAGTCTCCAGTTCTGTCTGTAAAACATGAAACCTCACATCGGTAACATCGGCTCTTAGCTGGTTATTTCATCTTCGATTTTGGACAACTTCTTTACACATCCATTCCGAGTGACAACCCATTAGAACACAAGACAATTCATTAGAATCTAAAGTCGAGATATACATCGGGTGTGCTTGTGTTGGGTTTGTGTTTGTGCTTACTAGTCTAAGAATACCAAAAAAGCTGAAAAGAAGTGCGATCACACGCATCGCGCAGCGCATTCATAGCATTTCACAAATGCGACAACTTTACTCGATGCTATCCACAGTTTTTCTCGCATATCCACATTCGTAACGCAGCGACTCTCAACAAGTTCCACCACGCCAAGAAACAAAAGCTTCGCTTGCGAAGAGAACACAGTTGGTTTGTTCTGGTTTCGGGTGATGCGCGGTGTCGGGCATATTGAATAACATAACCAAACATGTAAGTCGTCCATGCGGCGCGCGTTTACGTTCTATTATAAACTCGTAACTCGTCCTTGCCGAAGTCAGTGAAGTCGCCTCGTCGATGCTCGAGGCTACCGACGCTTTTCCTCAACGTCCACAACTTGTATTCGCGTTTACGTGCGTGTTCGTTGCTGTCTGCGTTTACACGAACGCAAGTTGTGTTTATGGCGTTTGCAGCCCGTTAGCAAATTCGTATGAAAATAGTATACACGCGCAAGTGGCCGATATAAACTATAATTATCATCGCCAGCGACAAAAATCAATTATATCTATCTATTTATATTATAAAAAACTATTTGTGCTATTAGTTAAAACATAATTTGAGCATTTGCGTGTACAGTGAGGCCAGGGCACAGTTTGATTACACCGCGACGCAGTTACCTATTTATCAGTTTATTTATATGTACGTTGTGCAAATAGTTGTAGGATGAACGCGCGGTCGCGTGGAGTCGCGCGGTGTGCGAGTTCAGCTCGGGAGTTCGTGGAAAATTATTTATTTATCCGGTCATTTCGTTGAATATGCAGAATCGTCACTGTGAGCACGAAGAACAAGAGGGACAACACCGGAAATCGTTAAAATGTCAAACGATCTTTATGCATTTCATATTTTTGCGAGACTTTAAAGAAAAGCAAATGAATGCAGTCGGACTCAATTTTTATTAAGACTATTCTCTTGGGAATTAAGTTTAAATTGCTTTAAATGTTTACATTCCGCATTGAGGCCGACGTGTTATCGTCTTTTATTATCGGCGGCATCGGTAATCTGGAATTTTACCCAGAAGCAATAGCTTTTTATGTGCACACAGCCATTTTAACAAAATCAACTGAACCCAAGTGTCCAAGTTTTCATAAGGCAAAATTCCTGCTTTGCCTGTAGTTGTACCTGAAATATATAACGTTTTTTTTTAAATAAGTAGTGTGTTGTAATGCTTCAGGAAGTATAGGATGGATATTTCCACCCCGGTAACATTAATGCATATTTTAAGACTGTGAACGTCTTCACCCATCTGGTTCTTGTAATATCGGTCGGTTCAATGTAAATCTTCACTAGTTGAATTAATTAAAACACCTCATCCGGGCCCAACTATAATCTAATATATCTCATCCTAGGCTATTATCCAATAAGATAGCAAAAACTTTGACTATGATTCTGCATCTTGGACCATATTAAAGGAGCTTGTATGAAAAAAAGGATGCATCTTGCAGTTTATACATGCGTATGCGTAGTGTGTGCATAAATAAGATCCAGGTGGTTGCATTTTAATCGATCACAATGCACGCTGTCCTGGTAACGGCTCGTGCTGCACTCACCCTCGTGCGTTTCCTTTATTTGCCCGCTTTCTTGCGTCGAGGGGCGACGACGCCGTGCAAGATGTACAAACGCGCACGAGTGCGCCTTGCACACAACAAAGTCGCGGTGACCGTTTATTCCAGGTCAAAGGGGATCCCAGCGCAACGGTTTTTCAACAATCCAGCTATTTCGTAAGTTATTGCCATCGGCAAAACTGCGTGATCGCAAATTTTCCAGAAGCCATAGAACCTTCAATAAACTAATAAAGCGCATCTTTGGTTAGTTTTACCGAATAGTTCCACGTCAGTGGCGTCAGATTGTACCTCAATTTTTTCTTAAACTTCACAAAAGTTTTTTTTGTGATAGTGGTTATTGTACCAGTAAAACAAATTTGTCTGAGACCACAGTAGTGTTATACATTCGCCATGATTAAGCAAAAATTATATTTCTTACAATAATTTCAAATTCATCCATAAGTCAGGAATGCTCTAGCGGCAGGTTGATGCCTAGCCTAGAGTAGTGCGCGCGTCTCGCAACTCAATCCACGCTCGAATTCCCCGCTCTGTGGCTACGTATGGTACGTTTGTTTACATATTGTTTTTCCTTTTCTGCTGCATAGTCTTAAGGAGGCCGCGTGCACGGTCCTCTCGCTCCTTGCGATGGCGGTTGCGTCGGTTGGGTTAGTGCGTTGCGCTTACGCATAATAGAACGTGTACGGTTCGTTTCGCGGCTGGCGCATGGATGCATTTGTATGTGTGCGCGTGTGTGACTGCTGCATTGACGGCGCGCGATGCGAATTAGTTGAAGATTTAAACGGTGAAACACGGGATTGCGAATCAAAGGTGAGGTAAACTTCCGTGCGAAGGTATCTGCTGAATCGGTTTGAATCATAGTTGAGGGTACTAAATTTCTTTTGTATAGTGTGATCTAATTTATGTAGCGAGTATCGTCCTGTATTGTGTGCGTGTGGTACTCACGCACACAGCTGCAGGGTCAGGCTCTAGCTCAGGTATCCGGCGCGATCAGATGTGTTGCGGTCCGGGCGCACGCGCACTGCACTGCGCGCCAACTGCCTCGCTTCGCCTGGCAGATGTTTTGTAATATCACCAACAGCACAGGGCCACAGAGGCTAGCGATCGCGCGAGCACCACGCTACTCGCCGCCCAGTACAGGTTTGCGACTTGCGTTTTCACCGCCAAGTTCAAGCACGTTGTGCGCGTAAACCCCTTGTCGTATCATCGCGATTTTAATGTCGTCGTGTGGAGCGTTTCGTGCGGTACGCGTCCGTCCTGAAAGCGCGAAAATCGTGCCGGCGTAGTGTCGCGAACGCCGCGCGCCGTTCGCCCAGCCGGACTACGGCCAGGCGACCATTTTATTCTGCCGACGTGCGGCGCGCCGAAACCGTACGCCCGGGCCATTTAAATCGCACACATGTTCGCCGCCTAGAGCCCGCCCCAACGGCAACTCGCACGGAGCCCAGCAAGGGATCGGTAAGAAACGCGTCTCCATTGTTTTTACCTGACGCTGCAAGCGCGCCCGTCCCAGAGCAGCGGCGTTGTGCTCGCACTCGTCCGAGCCTAATATTTTAGTTTGTTATGATGGCGGTCCCGAACTTTTCCACAAGCTTCGCGAATAACCGGGGGTGCGAATATCTCATCTCCCAGTCAGTGCATTCCCCGGTCAATTATAAGCCATATGCATTTCATCTTCGTCGTGGCATCGTACGCCGCCAGGTTAGAAATAGAGGCGCTCCCTGCTCGGTGCGCAGAAAAAACGGGCCATTTTCTTAAAACAAATGCTGCGATGGAACCCAAACAAGTTCACTAATTGCACAGTACATTAACGACAGTGTGACCTTAAGATAAATCCGATAGTTTGCGCAGTGTTTCAATGCACCACAGAAGTAGCTAATAGCATAATGACAATTCAGAATCTCACTGTAGAATGAGACCGAGACCTGGGGCTTCGGCGTAATTGTTATCATAATGAAATTGTTTAGTAATATAGTTACAAACAAACATAACGTGTTTAGATGAAAAGAAAGCTTCTTTTGTCTAATACCTATCGTTTTAATTTTTAGACGTACAAACATGGATTGACCAACTGAATTTACATCCTCCATAAACCAACAAGATACAAGAGTACAAATCATGAAACGTGCCACAGTTAAGAGGGCCGTCATGGAGAGTCCAGGCCACTACAGCACGATGCCTTCCACGTCGACGCCGGACATGAGTTCTATCAAGACGGAATTTACGCCAAGCCCACATCTTCGCGATCATCAATACGGGGCGACACCGCAGAACCAGATTTATCCAGCGTTCAATCAGCAACCGCCTGCGGTAAAGCGCAAGCTTAACATGGACACTAGGCAGATCCATGTAATCCCAACAATAAAACAGGAGTTCAAAGCACCGCCCCGAAGCGTGCTAAGCCGGCTCCCACGATACATGTGACCACACATTCCATGGTCAAAAGAACAGTCGAGCCGACACGTCGCTGAGTTTGCTCACCGAGCGCTTCCGCGTCCTGTTGCAGGATTCTCCCAACGGCGTTGTTGACTTAAACCATGCGTCGAAAGAGTTGGGCGTGCAAAAGCGGCGCCTGTACGACATCACTAACGTGCTCGAGGGTATCAACGTATTGGAAAAGAAGTCCAAGAACCAGGTCATGTTGAAGGATAGCAATACCGGTGCGCACCTCGAGGAGGAATTGCGACAACTGTCGAAAGTTGATAATCACTTCGCAAAACTCATCGACGTTGCCGAAAAGACGCTGTTTCAGTACAATCGCGAGACGCATGGGTATGTGACATACCAAGATCTGAGGTCGATCGAGAAATTTAAGCATAAGACAGTGATGGCCATCAAAGCACCGGCAAATACGAAGCTTGGCGTGCCGGAGGGTGAGATGCAAATGCAGATGTGCAGCCAGGAAGGCGAGATTGAGGTGTTCCTGTGTCCTGTGAGCACAGAGAAACCCCGCGTGTTGCCGGCCATTGACCCACTGCTAAGAGATTTGCAGGTGGATCCCACTATCGAACTACAAAACCTTTGGGCGACACCTCCTATTCCACCCTTGGACATGCCTTATGTGGATTGCAAACCTATATCATCGCAAGTTAGTATAATAATTCTAATTTTTAGAAGGTTACGTGTGTGTGGGGCTAATATGTTTGCTGTTTCAGACTTGTCGGCAAATTTCATTTGCAAATGGCATAAAGGATCCAGTGATGCAGAGTGTCGGGGTCTCGAAGAACTACCCACAAGGCGCGAAGTACGACAAGGAGACGAGAATATCAGACAATTTACAGTACGACTTGTTGGACTACGCGAACGTGGTGGGCAACGCTCTGAAGACGGATGACACCAGCTTTCCTATCAACGCGAAATACCGTAAGTGTCGCATCGATTCTCGTACTTAATAGTTCAACTAACAAAGGCAACTGCTTTATTAACATTTAAAATTGTATATATCGTAACAATTATAATTAACAATGTGGTGCGCGTGAGGCTGTAATGACAGCGTAGGGGAGTTCTGACTGTGACATGTGTGTTTAGAGTCACATCACAGGCAGAGTTCTAGCTACGAGGTCATTCAATCCAGCTTTCATTAATAATAATTGTAATCGACATACGGTGAGCGTGGTGTTACATCTAAGAGGCGCTTGTAACCTATTGGTTTTTGCACAGCACATCACGCTAGTGTTGTTGCGTTCTTTTGTTTCATTTTTTCAGCTAAATTCTGGGGTTTGTGCTGTCGCTTACTTGGTGGTGTTATAAGCTGGGTTCTGTGTGTGTTATCGTGGTTTTCTTGCATTCGTAGCACCATGGGATTCAGCTCATCACGCTGCTAACTTAACATCTAACATTGCTTCATTCTATGTGCTTTTTATTGTTAACGTTGTATAACTTCTGGTTAAATTGCTTAGCGGGCATTTTTGAGTTTTATTTTGTTGTAGCTATTGCATTATATATGCGGTTGAATTAATTTTTCTTCTTCTATTTGTAGCTAACGAGGATCCGATGTTCTGCGACCCCTTCATCAATTTGGAGCCACCGGCACATTCTCACTACATGCCGGTGTTGGACTTGGATGAGAGCGCAACGGATATGTTCCTTCCGTTCGAAGACTTGGATAAAATAGATTAATTTTTGTATTTAATTTAAACTTAACTTGCTGCGACAAAGCACATGACGCGTATACAAACCGAACGGGGCGGACTCGTTGTGGAGTGCGCGACGATTGAAACCAATTCCGTGTAAGTATTTAGCCGGCCCATCCAACCTGAAAACATAAGCTCAAAGCTCGCTGAGCTGATTCAGCGGATTCAAAAGGATGCAAATTAAATTTTCCAAGGCGTCGTTACGAGATACGCGACACGCGTAAATAAAAGGACCAAAGTGCCTGGTTTGTTTTAATTTCTTCATTTCAAAGAACCGAACTGACGCGAACACGTGGCGCACTAAAAGGAGAAAAACGGATCGAGTATATGTTTGATATGTAAAGAAAATGAATGCTCGAAGACTATTGATTTAAGTGTTGATTATTTCTCGTTTTAAGTACAAACACACGTTGCGAGAACGCACTTGCTGCTATAGTAGGAGGTATTTTTTCGTCGCCTTTTTTTTTGTTTCACTTACGACATTTTATTGTTACTTATTTGGGCGAATGATTGTGGAGGCGAGTACAGAAGACACGAGTGCCATGTTACAACGCAACAAGTAATTCCAAGCAGCAAGTAAAAATTACAATTGGGAGTCGTGCTGAACTTCCCGTGCATACATTGTACATATTATCTCTCAATTTCTGGCGAATCACTTCGCTGGAACGCAAATCGTATTTTTTATTCGAACGCAAAGTGTACAGACATTTTCTTTTTCACTCATTCGGAGACCGCGCGCACTAGCAGCGCAGGTCGCTATTTTGTATCGTACATTATTATCAATATTGTTGTGTGTATTACAAGTTTATATTAATTTGATGATAGGATGTATAGTGTGGAGAGCAAAAGATCACCCCGAATTAAGATCGATATGAGAAAGTAAATAATTTATTTCAAGCAAGATTGGAAAATCAAAGGACACAATGATGCAATATTTCCGTACTAGTCCTTTTTACTTACAAAAGAGAAAATAAAAGTAATAGCAAATGTGCGCAATCAACTCCGGGTTGATGCAGCTCTAAGAGAATTGCATACTTTGTTACACACGTCCTGCCTGCATTTCGAAGACTGTCCATGAATAATAAAATGAGAACTTAAAAGTGTATTTTGTCACAAATATTTCAAGTATTAATGAAACGAACGAAAACAGTAGTAGTAAATTATTGAATTGATTGTAAACGAAAGGCGGTGTCTTGTTGACATGTGTTCTTATTGGCGTTTTGAGAAAGATGATAAAATTGTTGGTTTGCAAGGACAAGGACGTTCCGAAGCTCAGTACAGAAGGAGCAAAGACAGCGTTTACTACTTGGGTGTTTTGTAAAATTAGTACAATCCTACATTATAATTGTTAAACTCCCCTCAATTTTGTATATGTAAATATTATTATGCTAAGTTCGTTTCTACGACGAATTCGTTCGCATGTTTTCAACGATGTCAGTTGTCTTTTCCCGAACGGTTTTTTTAAAAACAATTTAAATTTGAAGACAAAAATGAAATGAAAAGCCACAAGAGGCCTTATATTTAACATGAAGACAAACAAAATATAACTTTTCATTGTGGAGAAACCCTAAATTACAAGCGCATCACCGTTTTTATTACCAATATGTAAATAAATACATAAATAATAACGAAACAAGAAAACTAATGTGAATTAAAAACATATTCAATAAAAAAAGAAATTGCATTAGTTTGGCTTATGTATTTAGCGTACTAGAAGTTAGTACGTTAGTAAGTTAGTAGTAGTTAGTTCCTCCTCTGTTCTGAATTATTAAGTCTTAGAAGGCGCCGCAAAGCTTCGCACGTCCAAGGTGTTATATAAAAAACACTATTTCTAGGGACTTTTGTTTTTGGCGGGAAATGAAAACCGGTTTTGTATACGCCACGAAAGCTCAGGCCATAGGCAAACGATAAAACCGCTAGATTTGACATCTATAGGAGAACAAAGTCTACCAACAATTTTAAACTTCCTTTGCATAGTTTTAAAATCGGAACTTGTATATGCACAAGAAATAACAATATTGTAAATGTACAAGTTTATATACTCCACAATAGCTTCAAATTTAATGCGTAGTTAATGAAGTTTTGGAAGTGATGAATTTCAAAACTGCTTTATTAATGTACAAATGTTTCAAGCCTCAAAACAACGTTATTCTATATCACATCCGAAATAATATTTTTAAAAATCCATAAAAACAAAACTAATTCTAAATGGCTTTAAACATTTAACTTGATGTAGAGTGTATTTATGTTATAAGATATAACTGAGGTATCATGAACTATCAGACAAATGTTTAAGATCATCCAACTGCATTGCTGTATTTGTGACGGTCAAGTCTGCAACAGAACAAGTGATTTGTAAATTTGGATTAGTTTATGAGTGAGTTTGTACTTACGAGCAAATAATTCGGACTGGAATTTTCGAATCTTTTCATTGTAATCAGTATCTATTTTCTTAGCGATGTTCGCAATTAATTTTAACAAATTGCGGACCACTTCCACATCTGTACTGACTTTGCACAATTCTCCAATTAATTGAACTTTTCGTAGGTCCACTGCGCTGAACTGTGAACGCATAGGATCAAGATTGCAGTCTCAAATTGTACGTGGCCACCGCACATGAACGACTCGAGGAGGGACATTGTAAGGTCGTCAACGCAAAACTCAGTCCTGGGAAAGTTGTAATAAGTCACAAGTAAGTTCTTAAAACCCCTATACAATTATCATGTATGTAGCCAACTATGTTTGTGTTTGTGGTAGGTTGATTCGGCTGGGTCATTGCAATATGGGCCAAAACGTGATCAAAACCAGCATCTAAATAAACACAATATTAATTATTGTCTAAACGTAATGCACGTATGAACGGAAAAATTACCTGTTGTAACATCTTTGTAGGGCTGCAGAACGTTAAGCCAACTTGTTACAATCGTGTAGATGATGACAAATTTATGTGATGGATTATGGTAGAGAAGGTCGGCAAGGAAAACCCGCACACGATGTTTTTCTGTTTGAGACGACACAGGGCCGTATAGAAACGAGAGAGGTTCTCTAAGCATTCCGGTTTAAACTTCACATTGAAAAGTAAGTGTTTCTCTATGTTACTTATCAGTAGTGTTACGTAGTCTGCGCTATTTAATTCGCGTTCAATTCGTAATAACAATCCCAAAATTACTTTTGCCTTATTGTAAGAAGAGGCTCCATTGTGGTGGTACTCTTTGGCTTCTCGGTTTCGCCTTTGTCTGCGCTTAAGTATAGTATTATATAACTGCAAAAAGAGAACATTATCGTATTGTGTTTTAATGCTACGAAATTAATCAATCACTTACTCGATAAGTTGAAAAGCTTTCACAGTTTTCAATAGCTGAACATCCAATTTACATATACGCGCATTACCCTTAAGCCAAACAAATCTATCAAGGGCCGTTTTGATTGTTCCTACAAATAAATATTAATCAGTATAAATTATAAAAATAGGGTACAAAACAAAATTCCACTTACTATATGACACTTTCTTATGTATATTAATGTCTGCATCATTGCAGCCAAGTTTACTATGATCTTCTGATTCATTTTGGTGTTCACTTGTATCAATCGTTTCTTCATTAGTTTGGTCATTACAAGATGGTTCTCTTTTTCTTTTCAAAACACAGTTACTAACCGAGCTTGGCTGGATCTCCCCACTTGTACCATCTTGAGTGTTAGGCGATTCTGTAGTTTTGCGCTTCTTGTTGTCATTTGATGAATGCTAATGCTACTTTGAGGACTTAGCGATGGTGATTTATGTCTTTTGTTGTTTACCATCTCAGGTTTTTCAATTGGTTCACCAATAATGTCATGTGGGCATTCGGAAGCATCGCTTTTCTCTTCAGGCTCCACGCATGCATTCTTGGAAGCTTTGGTTAGGATATTAGCCGTTTTACAACTAGAGTTAATACAGCGTTTTCTCATTCGTTGAAATTCTTGATCAATAGTAATTTTGTTCAATTTTGGTGTCGTAGGATCTTGATTTACCCATTGCAAACACACTTCTTCAACCTTTTTATCAGTCACATTAACATGTTCAATGAATGGAGAATTTTGCAGTAATTGGGATTTTCGTCTCTTCTGTTCTAAACCACAGTTGGGCACCTCGTCAGCGGAGGTTTCATTGCTCAAATTGATGATTTGTGAGTCAACCCGAACAAGCGATTCTTTTAAGTTGCTACTTCCAGTTGCAATTTTATAAAATTTCTCAAGCTTTTCAGATGTCTGGGTATTATTAGAAGTGGTAGGTTCATATGCCTCGGAAATTGTCACTACATTTTCAGCAACATCCAACATGTCCAATGAGCCAAAGTCAGGACAAATTTCCATAGGGGTTGAACAAATGTCTTCAATTTGGAAATTCTGTAAAATCGGAGATGTTATTACATTATTTGGCTTGCTAGCGGTTTTCTTTGGTTTATTATTGATACTATATTGTGCAGCATAAGTATGATCCATATCCGGCTTTAAAGCAGTAGCTGTTACCACAACTTTGTTTGTACCGATGCATTTCCGTTTATTTTCAAATGCAGTATTCCGTACTGTAGCATTCTTACACTGAGGTATGTTTACTTGTGGCATTTGTTCTTGATCTACTTTGGGTGTTCGAAAAATATTTATTTGATTACATTTTTTAATTCCTCTTTTCAACATTTGCATACGATTCACGGGCCTTTTTCTTGGTTTCTCTACCTCCCTTATTTCAGTACGAATTTCAGTAGCTATAGCATGATTATCTTGAGGCACAGACACAATATTATCTTCTAATAGATCTTCAACGTAATCATTATCATTATCAAAAGGTAGGATGAGATTAGGCACATCGACGAGCATTTCATTCAAGATTAAATTGATATCGCCCACTTTTTCGGATCTCCAGTCTTTCACAACTTCCATATCGCTTAGAACCCCAGAATCCTGACTTGAAGGAGTCATTTGACCATCCATCAACAAATCCTCAAAATATCGCGCCCGCTGCATCGCCCGACTTTCATACCCCGAACTCTCAGTGTCCGATATTGCACCCATGTTAGCCAAGCTAGATCGGCACAATTGCATCAGCTCTCTACTTCTTTCAAGCTGTTTGGGCATGCATAAAATATTAGATGATCTGCGATGCTTTTTTGAATCCACGTTTAGATATTGATTATCTATATATTTTTTCAAGCGGCGGTAAACGACTTTAGCAAGTGTAGAGCCGTTAGTGGAAGGCAAACATGTCGTAGGATTCTTGCTATAATGAAGTAGCACTCCATTACTTATTGAAAATGTTTTACGGGATTTCTTTAGAGCGGCCACAGCTTGTTTCATAGTGATTTTCTTTTCAATAAAATTGGTTTGTGCTGACGAAGTCCTTAGTTTTATGTTCATTGTTTGTGTGTTCTTGATATTACTAGGTAGATCAGTTTGTATTGATTGTGATTTGAATAACTTCTTTGTATCTGATGAACTATTTTTCTTTTCTTCAATATCTAAATTACATTGAACATCAGTGTGAATTGATCTGATATATGTTTGAGTTTCTTTTCGTGCTGTGGTCAAAGAGTCTGTTTGTACAGGACGAGTTACGTTTGATCTGGTGGTTTGTGTTTGGGCATCTCTGTGGCATACTTCCTCCTCAAATGGCCTCATCAACTCCGGCAAAACCGTCATCTCATTTAACAAACGATCAATGTCATATGCTTCTTCTTGTTTGTTAGGGGTTTTATTATAAGGTTCTGCAAAATTTGAATAGGCTGCTTACAACCTGTTTGGGCTGCAGATTCTTCCACTAATGGTTGTTTGTTTTCTTTTCCTAGATCATATTTTTTCAATTTGATTCGTAAATATTTAATTGTTCTTTTAACTGGTTGATGTGTAAAGCATATTTCTTCTATAAAATATAATAATTTAATGAATTACATTAATTCCATAATATAAAAGTGTAGTTACCTTAGTTGCATTTAGATGATTTTTATTCTTGGCAAATATTTTCTGGTACTTCTGAATAACCCTTTTATTATTGTTCTTAATTTTTTACTGAATCCTCCAATAGATGGTACTTTTGAATCTCATCCAATAATTTTGCCTGATATTCATTTGTTGTCTGTTCATGGTCCTTATTTCTTCTTTCAATCTCACTATGTAATTCATGATTTTGACTTTCTAATTTGTTATTGTCCTGCTGTGCTCTTTTACACTTAGTTTCCAAGACAGCTATTTTTCTTTGCTTTTCAGCAACCAATGTGAAAATTGAGCTATAGGCAAAATATACAGTCCGAATAATTTAAGGTTATATCGGCAACGTTTTTCAACGTTTTTACACACCAATTACTCGAATTACAAAGAAAAAAAGTTAAAAGCAGATACTTACTCTATTTTTAAAATTTTGTCTTTCAATATCTGCACATCCTCTATTTGATGAATATGTTGAGAAGTATTCATTATTACAACTACACTTAACCTTTTTGTATCTCCAGGGTACCTAAAACAACTCTTCTGAGTAGTGTATATTTACAAATCAATTGTTAATTATCTCACTGTTGAAAGCATTCGAATTTTTAGTAGGTAGTGTTATTGTAAGACCGTCAGACCGAATATTGTAAACATGATGTTTCAAGCACGTTACACATTTCAAAAGATAGGCCCGCCCGCCAAACCAAGCGGCGAAGACAGCAAACCACGGCAAACATTAAGCTATAGTAACTAATCCGACCACGGAGCGCTGTTGGCAATTTGTAGAGATTTTAAAAACAACAAAACATTCAAAACCAAAACCATCATTGTGGCTAAAAACGAACGACTAGCTATTTGAAGACCTTGCCAATTAGATGACTTCATACATTATTAATAACGGCTATTTGAAAAGTCAACGCGAAACAACATTTTGTAGTTAATAACCAATTATTTATAGTAGTAAACCAAGCAAGTTTCTTTTCGCGTTGCGTTGTACGCACCTGACCGCGTGCGCGGACAGATCTAATCACCTTATCAGTAGTTTGCATAGCTAGTATGGTTTGGTCCGCCATTACCGACGTACCTATTTATTATTTATATAAGTCGTGCATTTAATTCGGATATATAATGATTTATATAAGATTTCTTTGATTGATAGTGATACGCGATTTAATTTTGTATTTTTCCGTTACTGCGGTTGCCGTTTTTACTAAGTGTTGGTTTTCACCTCAAAATATAACTGTAATTCAATAATTGTCTTCAGCAACAAGCAAGTTTTTTATTTGTCCTTTAATGGCCGGTGTCATATTCTGGTGAGTTTTCTATTATATTATTCTTATAGTCATTGTATGCATCGATTTAATAGCAAACTAGAATTGTTTTATTTTATTTTCTATGTGGTTATCAGTCTGTGTATATAAACAACTGTGTATATGAGATAGATTGTGAGTTGGTTTAAGCCATGCGCCTTGCAATCAAGCGTGAACTGTCTACACTTACTGCCCACCTTTTCAATTTTGTTAATTTGGTTCTAGATTGGTTTGACACACTGGGCTAGTTTATCTAGATTAGATGGAAAATGAGAAGCTTTGATGCAGCATGTCTTTACAAGAAGCATCAATAGGTACGAAGAAAGCGAGTTCTATCTAGTAGGGATTTAGGAGGATCCTCGAATTTGCTTCAAAATGTTAGTAACATAATATATATTTTTTTTTTGAATATTGTTCATTCTATCATAACACTGTTTTTAGATTTAACTTCGTTGCGTGACCTGAGGCAGGAATGGCATTTGCATTAAAATTGTATTTTACTAGAATGAATCTGAAGAGGAACTGAAGAAGTACTTATTATATGTTCAACATTATTGTTGCTATAATTCAGTTTTGACAGACACTTTTGTTGAAAATGCAATCGAAAGACTAAGGCATCCATTTTCCAAGTTATTTGCCCCAAATTTTGACTTAAAATTACATCTGGCAAGATGATATCTTTCACTTTAATTGTTTAAACATTCAGCGCACGTTTCACAGCTACCGAGGGTAGCGGTAGAAGTGACTCGCGTTCAGGGCACCGTACGAGGAAGCGGTAGAAGTGACTCGCGTTCAGGGCACCGTATAAACCTAGAAATAAAAGTAACTTGTGTTTAGGGCACCGTACAAGGGTAGCGATAGAAGTGACTCGTGTTCAGGGCATCGTACGAGAGTAGCGGTAGAAGTGACTCGCGTTCAGGGCACCGTATAAACCTAGCGGTAAAAGTGACTCGTGTTTAGGGCACCCTACAAGGGTAGCGTTGAAAGTGAGTCGTATTCATTAAATATAAATTGTATTTGGACCTTTTAGCCCAGGAAATTAAATTATTTTATATTTTTATCTGATAGAGAATTTTCCTAGCTTTCATAATCTTCAATCCGTTAATCGCTAGCGCTATTAATTTAAAAGATACTTGTTACGAGAAATTCTCAAAAACATGACGCAGCACCCTCCTATGTCTAAGTTCTTTGAAAGAGCCCTAAAATTCATATCAGAATTTGTTTCTTTTCTGAAGTATTGAAAATTTGATACGAAATTCTAATTTTAATTTATTATTGCGTTTAATAATCAATTCCGTCTGTGTCATTCATAGATGGCACTACCATGAACTAAAAATCATAAAATAAATTTATACTGCTTATTTTTATGTTTATTGTAAAACGTTTGGCACACAATGCCGTTATCTGCGTTTGTTTATATACAACGTTTTATCGCATTTGCCGAGCGGAATGCAACGCACGTAGGTGCACCATAGTTTAGTTTTGATCGCAGATAATGTGTCTATTGCAAATCGTGCACAAGGTCGCGTGCCATCGACGCGCCGCCGGCTTTGCGCATCTATTACTTTTGCCTGCGGGGTTCAGGCTGCAGGTAGTCTTAACATAAACTCTCGCGACGTTGCTTGTTTGGCTACATACTCAGTCCCAACTGTCTCGAAATGGCCGCGAAATTAGCTCTTTTCTAGCCTTTTTCAAAACTTCCGGTGGAAAACTAGTCATATCTCGCGAACCCTTTGCAATATTTTAACTACTTCTTCTCTATGTGACAGAACGAGAGTTCCTTTTCAAGATGCACCCTTGAAATCTCGCGAATTTTAGTCCTAACTGTCTCAAAATGGCCGCGAAAATTTGCTCTTTGCAAGCATTTTCAAAACTTACGGTGGAAAACTGGCCATATCTCGCGAACCCTTTGCAATATTTTAGCTAATCCTTCTTCATGTGATATAGCAAGAGTCCTTTTTCAAGATGCCTCCTTGAAACCCCGCGAATTTCAGTCCTAACTGTCTCAAAATGGCCGCGAAAATTTGCTCTTTTCTAGTATTTTTCGAAACTTCCTGTGGAAAACTGGTCTTATCTCGCGAACCCTTTGCAATATTTTAGTTATTTCTTTTTTATATGATAGAGCAGGAGTCCTTTTTCAAGATGCACCCTTGAAATCTCGCAAATTTCGGTCCCAACTGTCTCAAAATGGCCGCGAAAATTTACTCTTTTCTAGCATTTTTCAAAACTTACGGTAGAAAGCTAGTCATATCTCGCGAATCCTTTGTCACATTTTAGTTATTTCTTTTTTATATGATAGAGCAAGAGTACTTTTTCAAGATGCATCCTTGAAACCTCGCGAATTTTAGTCCTAATTGTCTCAAAATGGCCGCGAAAGTTTGCTCTTTTCTAGCATTTTTAAAAACTTATGGTGGTAAACTGGTCATATCTCCTGAACCCTTTGCTATATTTTAGCTATTTCTTTTTATATGATAGAACTAGAGTCTTTTTTCAAGATGCACCCTTGAAATCTCGAAATTGCAGTCCCAACTATCTGAAAATGGCCGCGAAAATTTGCTCTTTTCTAGTATTTTTCGAATAGAAATATGTACCCTATGGATAGTTTTGCCTACATTCCACCGATGTTCATTTTCCCAAGGAAATGATTAACTCCTCTGCTACAGAAGAATGGTCCAGCCGGAGCGTTATACAAATGCTCTGACAACGGCTGGATCAACGAAAATCTTTTCTCGAATGGTTGGTCCATTTTAAACAACATGCGAAGCCATCTGCCCTTGAACCTATTCTGCTGATACTAGATAACCATGCTAGCCACATTTCTCTCACGATCTACGAATATTGCAAGGTAAATCATATTCACATGTTGTCTCTGCCGCCACATACATCTCATAGGATGCAACCTTTGGACGTTTCATTCTTTGGGCCCCTTAAAATGGCCTACAAAAAAGAATGCGACTCGTTTTTGAAAAGCCATCTCGCGGAGAAGATAACGCCCTACGATGGTACATCCTTGGTGAGAAAAGCCTTTATTAATGTTGCGTCCATTAGCAAAGGAGAATCCGGATTTAGAGCTTGTGGAATTGTTCCACTAAATCCGGAAGTATTCACTGAAGATGACTTCATTGCGGCAGAAATTCTTCAATCCGAGACATATATAATACAAGACTACAATGAATCTCATGCAATGAATCCTAGCACAACAATGTTTGAATTATCCCCAGTATCTGGCTCATCAAGTAAAGTTCATATGCATGGTTTCATTAAGTTGCCAGAAAAAACATCAGCGGAAAATACAAGAAAGAGCCGAAAGCAACACGTTACAATTTTGACATCCACCCCAATAAAAGAAGCATTAAAAGAAAAAGAAAATAAGAAAATGAAAAAAACAGAGATATGGAAAGGTAAAGGTCAGGGCAAGCTAATACAGAAGAAAGGGGCAAAGCGCCGATTACTGCAGGACGATGAGGACGCAGAAGAAAAGTGTCTAGTGTGCAACGATTTTGGCAGAAAAAATTAAATGTGGTTCAGGTGCACCTCATGTATCGTATGACTCCGATTGCCCCCAGTGTGACCACCATTACCCGCATGTCGGTGCAATGGGAGTCAAATCTGTTTTTTTTTAAATGTTGTAAAATCCACAATTTATTATTAAAGTAACTAAAAATTATATCAAACTGTAGTTATTTAAGTATATAATGTATAAATGCGGTTGTAATATATATTTTGTTTATAATTGAAATTTTATTTGAGTTCTCCCTTAAGTGACGTGTCTGGAGAACCCGTCGCAAAGAAAATTTTAGAATCGCAATGAAATTCATATTGATGTTTTATTTATCTATCATTTTAGTTTTCCTACCTTTTCTTTTTTAATTTTACCATTTTTAAAATTTAAATTCTCTTTTATTTTTCTTCTAGCTCTCTATTCTTAATTCAAAATGTAGTTGTAGTCACCCTCTCGTGAATCTAATTCTCTGCATCTAACATTTTGAATTTTCTAATTAAATGTAGCTATTTTCTTCTTGTTTCACCCTACGTATTACTTTTCCTTGCTCTCTAATGTTAAACTGACTAAATTTATCGTTTCCGGGTCGTTTTCTACTTAATATTAGTATTCTATTTTTACATTAAGGAATTTCCTATTTGTAACACCCTGTATGTTGGTTTGCCTAATGTCCCATTAGAAGTTTTCTAAATTTGTTATTCCCAAGTGTTTTCTTTCTTGATCTTTTGATTTTTTGTAGCACCCTGTATATTCGTTTTCCATATTGTCCGTGAATATTTAGCAGATGTTGTTTTTAGGTTTTTCTTCTGTTCACTTTGAATTTCCTATTTGTAACACCCTGTATGTGTGTTTTTCTTGATGTCCCATTATAAGTTTTCTAAATTTGTTATTCCCGAGTGTTTTCTTTCTCGAACTTTTGATTTTCCTTTTGTAGCACCCTGTATATTCGTTTTCCTTGTTGTCCGTGAAAATTTTGCTTTAGCTGTTTGTTTTTTTTTCACTTTGAATTTTCTATTTGTGACACCCTGTATATTAGTTTTCCTGATTGTCGATGAAAACGAGCGACGTTTGTAGTGTTTAGAGTTTTTTGTTTGTACTTTAAATTTTCTTTTTGTAACTCCCTGTATAATTGTTTCCATTTTCAATCACGTAATTAAGTATTTAATTAATTTCTTTATCCAGGCAGTACTTTGCGATCTTCTACTTGCTTGCATGTTCGCGGCTATGCAGGTCGTAAGTCCTGTTTCAATATGGCGGCATGTATTTTGTTGACTTGTAAAATCTAAACTTGTATTATATTGTTAATAAAGAAATAGTAAGATATATTGACTTCTTTGATTTGTGTGTACCCCTTCTATCATTTCAGGAACAGGTCTCTAAGAGAGTTCCCTCTCTCAGGGGATGATCCCCACTATAAAAATTGTTAAGGTAACCAGTATGATTTGTGTACTCCTTCTTTCATTTCAGCTACAGGTCGGAACATGTAAGAATATTTTTAAGTGTCCCCTCTCTTGGGGCGACTTAAAACTTAGAAATATTTGAACAAGATCTTATAAGGATTGTCCTTATAAGGAGTTCCCTCTCTCTGGG